TCAATATGAAAAAATTCTCTCCCTCTTCCCCTGATGGCGTCCGGGTGATGGCCGCGCACCCTCCGCGTACTGTTTCTTTACACACAGGATTCCCGGGAAATCCCGGGAAACGACTCTCGCTGAGGCGCCGGCGTCATTTTTCCCAAAATGCTGCTCTCGTTGAGGCGCCGGCCTCATTTCTGCTCCCGAATCGTTCCGAATCGTGCTCCCGCTGCAGCGTGGGCCTCATTTTCGGATAGGTGTTTGGCCTCCGTCGTTCAGGATGGCGTTCTCGCCCCAGCGCGGGCCTCTTTCTCGCGCGCCCATCCGCCCGCCACCACCGCGCCGCCCCCCCACCCCCCCCCCCCCCCCCCCCCCCACCACCACCACCACCACCACCACCACCACCACCACCCCACCACCCACCACCACCACCACCACCCCATCAACACACCAGTACCAACACACAACCCCTAACAGCACCACCACCACCACCACCGCACCACCACCACCCCCATCACCACCACCACCACCACCACCGACCAACCACCACCATCACCACCACCATCACCACCACCACCACCACCACCACCACCACCACTACTACCACCACCACCACCACCACCACGACAACCACGCACACACGCACTCACGCACGCACGTGCACCACCACCCACTACGCACGCGCGCGCGGAGCCACAGGTCCGCTACGACACGCGTCCGCGGATAGAGAAATCAGCGCCATGGTAAGGGATGGGAGGGAGGGGTAGGACGTCAGATATGACGCGAGCGCACCTAGCTTGCCTCCTCCCCCTCCTCCTCCTCCTCCGCCTCCTCCTTCTCTCCTCCGCCTTTCTCCTACGTCCTCCTCCTCCTCCCCTCCTTCTCCTCCTCCACCCCTCCTCCTCTCCTCCTCCCCTCCTCCTCCTCCTCCTCCTCCTTTCCTCTCCTCCTCCTCCTCCTCCTCCTCCCTCCCCCCTCATCCTTCCTCCTCCACCTCCTCCTCCTCCGCCTCTCCTCTCCTCCTCCTCCTCCTCCTCTCCTCCTCCTCCTCCTCCTCCTCCTCCTCCTCCTCCTCCTCCTCCTCCTCCTCCTCATCCTCGACCCGAACCCACGCGAAGTCAGGCTCCGCGCCACGTACCACTTCCGCCACCGCATGCCCCAGGGCAGAGGCGGGTGGCGCCTCCGAACAAAACTCAGTCGGCCAGACGAGTGGTCGCGGCCGAGCTGGTCTCTCCAGCACTGGTGATGCCCGCCGTCTTGAACGGGGTCACAAGGAATCTCCAGGTCCTGTTCACTTGGAACCTGGCAGGCGTCCTGGCCAGGTTGGCCAGGACACGGGCCCCCCACGACCCCGCGGGTGGCGGACCTTCACAGGCCACCGAAAGGCTGGCGGCGACCAGAGCTCCTCCCTTTCCGCAGACGCAACAGACCACGCAGCACATACGACGCCCCTTTCCGACAACGGCTTGGAAAGGGTGCATCACGCGCTGCCGTGCCTATCTGGAGGCCGCGACTCTGACGCACGCCAGGTCAGCCCGCGACAGAACTGGCGGCAGACGCGTGGGAGGCGGCTGCTGGACATGCAGCACGGGCGCACGCTGAGATGCCTGCTGACGAGCCGACCTTTGCTTGGCGGTAACGCGCGTGGCACCAACATCGGCCATGACAGGACCGATACTAGCGACCCAGGTGGCCCACTCCTTCACAATTCTAGCTTTGGCACTCCACGACTCACGGGCGGGCTCAGGCACACGCGATCTATTACATTGCCACTGCGCCCACTCATCCGCAATGTCGTTTCCAGCTTTGCAGAGCGGCGTGGAGAGGCCAGACTGGAGGCACGCACGCGTGCACTGCGCTCGCATTTTGACCACGCGCACACTCTCAAGGTCTCCCCACTCTTCGATATTGTGCCATACTTGTGCCCACAGCACGCCCACGCCGAGCGCGAGGGCACACAAAACTGACGGCCTCTACGATACAATCCCTCGTGCACAAACGCGCTGTCTGTGTAGAACGTTGTGCCGGGCCGAGAGTGCTGCAGATCCCGAAATAACGCGGTCAGCTCGGCCGCGTCGATATCCGCACACGTCAAGTCTAGCGTGCCACAAAACACGGAAAGCGTGCAAAAATTGCCGGGGCCGATGGCCACCAAGGCCCAAGCAATCGCTTGACATGGTTTCGGGAGCCTTTGGTCCATCCAGGACCCGTCGAGAAAAACATGCCCCCCCCTATCTCCGCAGGTCCTCCTCCAAACCACTTCGCAGGAGCCACGAAGGAGGGAGGAGGCACAGCAAGCGGCAGGAGCAGCCTTTCGGCGAAGATGAGGGGAAGCGGCTCAGCGGCAGCTCGCGCGAGGCCGAACACAAACGCGGGTAGTCGGGAGTCCTGGAGCAGGTCCTCGTGCATGTCACACGCTCCGTGCCTATGTAGAATCGCGCCTGGGCTGTCCTGGCAGCCCTGGCAGAGTCCGTCTGCGGAAAGACCGTCCTGCCACTGACGATGCTGCGGCCGCTGCCTTCCCGCGACAACCGATCTCAAACGACCCTTGCCCTGCGGCGTGAGAACATGGCCGCGCAGGAGGGAGAGAAGTAGAGCACGGTCGCACCCATTGGAAAGCTCAGGCACTCCCTCACGCGCGGCGACCTTGCTCCACAACCAATGCTGAACGGCGCGAATGAGCCAGGCACGAGCAGTGCGAGGCGACTGCTGCAGCGCATCGACACTGCCTAACCTGCCTTGACCCCAGACAAAGCCATCGATGTCGAACCCCAGGCGTTTGGCCGTGGCCGCGCAGGCTGTGAAGGGACCACGAATGGCGGCCCATGTTTTCCCATTGTCCTGGAAAGCGGCCGCGGCTTCCTGGAGCCCTTGGAGAGGCAAAGAATGGAATCCCAGACGGCCGCAGCATATGCGATGAGCGGATCCAGCTGCAACCGAAAGGCAGGATCGCACAGGGGCCTGTCTGACAACGTGAGCAAGAGGGTGGTGCTTCTTCCCGCACGACTGAAACTCTGGACGCGAGCCTCCATGGCCCGCGCCTCGCGCAAAGATGCATTGCAGGAGCCGTGCACCTTGCCCCCATGACCAGTGGGGGCCAAGACAGCTGCCTGAATCACGGTGCGCATGCGCCGCTGGGGCACGTGCCTGCAAAAAGTGAGGGGGCACACGGCTCTTGCCCGCCCAGGAGCTCTCCGCTCATGGCGCGTGGCTCTGAAATGAACCTTCGCGGCAGCAAAGTCGATGCCTGGGTTGCGCTCGGCGCGTGCTCCCTTCGCCTGGAAGCGCGCCAAACGCTGCACAAGCTGAGTGCGCACGACGTGCGAAGACCCGACGACCGGAGACTTCCGACGAGCGACGGGGAGGTGGATCCTTGCCAGCTCAGCGTGCAGCATGCGTGTGGCGCCTGCAAGGTGCTCGACAACATCCGTCTCACGACCAACGCTGTGCGCACCTATGTCGCCGGCCACCACTCCTCGGCGCACGAGCTCAAATCGCCGTTGCACAGCGCCTGGAGGCCCAACCAAGACCATCTGCAGCATGAGCGTAGCAAAATGACACCCTGGCAGCACCGCCGCCAGAGTTGATACAGCATCTGAAACGGCATCATTCACACTCAAAACCCTGGGCAGGCGGTAGAGCTCTACCAGTAACTTCAGCTGGCGAAGCGGAAACCCTGTACGCCTCGCGGCTAGGAGCAGCTCCGTGTGCCGTATGTGCTCAAACGCCTTCTGGATGTCCAGGAGGACGAGCCTGCTCGAGAAATCGCGGGTTCGTGCCCACTCGGACGCAGCGGACTGCACCCAGACCAACCTATCGCTGCTGCGCCCTGAGGTGGCCCACCAGTACTCTCTCTGATGACGCTGTTGCCACTCGGCCACGAACGGAGATCTGAGTCGGCCTTGGACCCTCGCAAGAATGTGGATGAGGGCAATGGGCCTCAGCCCTCCCTCTCTGTTGGCCAGAAACACACTCTTGGTGAACACCGACGGCCGCGAACCACTACGCTCAATGTCTACCAGTATCTGAATGAACCCATGCAAAGCAAAGTCAGAAAGAAAGAGGAGTTGCCTGGGGCTGATCTGGTCAAACCCGCACCCTGAGTTTTTTGGAAAAGACTTCAGCACTGCTTTGAGCTCTTCCAAGCTCGGCGGCGCAAGCTCGGGCCCCAAGTCGCTGGGCCACTCCAGGCCATTTGCCAACGCTCCAACTTGCCATCACCCCGCCCACTCAGCCTCCACCCCCCTCACTTCCTCTTGCTGGCTGGCAGGAGACCCTGAAGGCGAAAGGCTACTGCCATGCCAATGCATGGGCGGCTTGCTGCAGGCATACAGAGCGGCACCTCCATTCAGTGAGTGGGACCCGGCCCACTTCTTTCAATCACGATTCTTTTCCTCTGTGCCTGGCGGTCGACAATTTCCGCTTGCTTGCGAGCGGTTCGTGCAAGAGCAGCGACCAGTGGGTAGCCGAGCGAAGTGGCAATACTTAGCAAGCATAGCCATGGCTTGGCCAGAGCTTCGTCAACCTTGCCCTTCACAGCTGAGCCAGTGAGAGACCGAGCGAGCTTCAAAGTGGTGGCGCGCACAGAAGATGGCTGCCACACCGAAAGGCCGTCGAGCGTGCGCGCTAGCAGACGCCACCAGAGCGCACGCGAGCAAAGCCTGGGAAACGCCAGGTCTCTCACACGAGAGGCTTGCTTGACGGCAAAGCGCGGGCCGTCGGCTCTACCAAAGTGCTGGCCGCCATGCTCGGGGACCATGTCGTAGATGTCAGCCCAGTCCCGCTCGGCAGCCCAGCCAGCAGCGCCACTTGGTCCATGCCTGCAGCGTGCTGGTCGAAGGTGGGCCAGAGCACTGACGGGTCCTTGCGACGGCAGCCCACAGGAATGTCCAGCGGCAGCCGCTTCGGAACCTTCGTAACCATGTAGTCCAGGTCGGCCGCCATCCGCGTGGGAACTCGCAGCAGCACTGGGAAGTGAGGCGCGGTGCCTCCATCAAACAAAACCTGCGCCGTGGCACCTTGATGCAAAACTCTGGAGATGACAAAGAAATCGATGCACCTGGCCGCACCCTGAGAGCTGTTGGTGCAGGCGGCGCCCGCTGGCGCAACGCACCCCGCATCCAAAGCGTCCACCCAGCCCGATTCCTGCAATGTGCTCGGCAACATCTGGAAATCACCGCACGCAATGAAAGGCAGATCGATTTGCTTGAGCAGGGCACCCAGGTCCGTGAGAATCTTCCAACTCTTGGGCCCAACTCCTTCCATGATGCAAGTATACCGTGGCGAACGCAAAACCTTGGGGCGAGAGCCCAGCACAGTGAAGCACACGAGCCCGCCCCTCGGCTGCCGTGCCTGATACAAGCTCAAAATCTCCCAAGCCTTATGCCACGGGGACCATATGCAGGAGGCCTCCTGACGTGCCCCCGCGGCCTGTGTTGACTGCGGCCGCTGCAGCCGCACTCCATCCAATATTACGTAGTTTGGCCTCCCACGAGGCGAGCTGATCTCCGCGAAGGTGGTGCTCCTGCACGGCGACGGCCTGGGAGCGCTGCACCAGCTCGTGCTTGAGCAGCGCCTTGAGGCCCACGATGCCCGTGACGTTGCACGTCCCTCCTCCTCCTCCTCCTCCTCCTCCTCCTCCGTCCTCCTCCTCCTCTCCTCCTCCTCCCTCCTCCTCCTCCTCCTCCCCCTCCTTCTCTCCTCCTCCTCCTCCACCTTCCTCCTCCTCCTCCTCCTTTTCCTCCTCCTCCTCCTCCTCCTCCTCCTCCTCCTCCTCCTCCTCCTCCTCCTCTCCCCTTCCTCTTCCTCCTCCTCCTGCCCTGCCTCTCTCTCCTCCTCCTCATCCTCCTCCTCCTCCTCCTCCTCCTCCTCCTCCTCCCCTCCCTCCTCCTCCTCCCTCCTCCTCCTCCTCCTCCTCCTCCTCCCCCCCTCCTCCTCCGCCTCCTCCTCGTCCTCCTCCTCCTCCTCCTCCTCCTCCTCCTCCTCTCCTCCTCCTCCTCCTCTCCTCCTCCTCCTCCTCCTCCTCCTCCCCTTCCTCTTCCTCCTCCTCCTCCTCCTGCTCCTCCTCCTCCTCCTCCGCCTCCTCCTCCGCCTCCTCCTCCTCGTCCTCCTCCTCCTCCTCCTCCTCCTCCACCCCCTGCCCCTCCTCCGCCCATTTCCTCCTCCTCCTCGTCCTCCTCACTCGTACCCCTCCCCAGCAACGCGCGCCCGCGATCGGCTTGGCGGCCCCGAATTGGGCGGCTTCCAGACATTGCAGCCCAGCCAGCGGCCTGCCGGGTCCAAAATCGAACAAGTTCTGGCCAGCGTTCCGATGAAGACCGGGTCCATGCGTCGGCTTGCCTTGCATGTCGAACCAGCTGCTATATAAAACTCTGGACCCGCCCGCCGCCCCCGGCAGCCCATGCAGGAAGGACGGGCATGGAGGGAGGAGGTGATGATGATGTTGCTGCTGATGACGATGATGATGATGATGCTGCTGCTGCTGACGATGATGATGCTGATGATGATGATGATGGTGATGATGATGGTGATGGTGATGGTGATGGTGATGGTGATGGTGATGGTGGTGGTGATGATGACGATGACGATGACGATGACGATGACGATGACGATGATGATGATGATGCTGATGATGATGATGATGATGATGCAGGTGATGATGCTGATGATGATGGTTGCGATGACGATGACAATGACGATGATGATGACGATTATGATGATGATGATGACGATGCGGATAATGATGATGCTGATGATGACGATGATGATTATGGTGGTGGTGATGCACTTTATGCTGATGGTGATGATGCTGATGGCGATGATGATGGTGATCATGGGGATGAGGATGAGGATGAGGATGGGGATGAGAAGGAGGCGGATGAGGAGGAGTTGAATTGGCGGACCCGTGTGTGGGCCAGCCATGTTTGGCAAAGCGGTAGCCAACAGCGCGTGAGAAGAGTCGCAGCCGTGGCCGGGAGGAACCACCTTCAGGGCATGTTGTGCGCTCTTTGCGGATTTGTTCGCGTGTTGGAGTTCCGTGCTCAGTCTAGTTTCCGAGCTAGATTTTCAAGTGGGCTTTGGATATTGGTTTTTTTGCGAACCTTGAGGGAGGGAGGCGAACGTGGAGGAGACGAGGGTGCCGAGGGACTTGGGAGGACGCCGTGCACTTGCTGTGCCGTCGTGGCCACACGGCGTGCACTCACCGCAGGTGGACTTGAGTTCGTTTCTCGCAGATCCGGGCGTTGCCGTCCTCGTCCCCTCTTATTCCTCGTCCATGTTTCCATCCTTATCATCCTTCCTATTTATCCTCGTCATCCTCGTCCATGCTCGTTATCCCCGTCGTTTCCATCCTCGGCATCCTCCTACTCCTCGTTGTCATCCTCGCCATCCTCTCCTCCTGTCTTCCCTCCCTTCCACCTCCTACTCTTGCTTTTGTTACCGTCCTCTTCTGGCTCCCGCCGATACCACCGATACCCGGCTGACATGCCCATCGTTTTCAAGTTTCTCGGGCCAGATCGTTCCCAGATCTTTTCCATGCAGGGTATCGCACTTTACGCGACGCCCCACCATGAGCCCGCTTGGCGAAGAATCCCGCCCACGAAGCAGGGCTGGAGTCTTTCATGTAGCTCAATCGTGCAACCTGGTTTTTTTGCCAACCAGATATGGAGGACATCTTTGGGCTGCTCTCTGTGTTATTCTGCCTCCGCATCCTCAAAGGTTGGCTGCAGCCCTCGGCCTGATACGTTCCAGGCGGAATTCGTATCAGCCGCTTGTTGGTTGTCTTCCTCCTTCTCCTCTTCTGTTGTAGATTATGCGACCGCCGCCGCAAAGCGGTGAGGATTCGCTGGCCGTGTCTTGTTTTCGCCCACGCGCTTCGGCGTATGGCATGAGTGAGTGAGTGGGTGAGATAGGGCATGATATGTTCCTTCTACATGGGGGGTGGTTAAGCTGCTGGTCCCCCTCCCATGTGGTGCGAGCAACACGGCGGCACCGTGTCACCTGCATCCTGGCATGGGGTGGTGGACTTCACCAGCAACAGAACTAGGCGTTCGTCCGTGGGCCCGTGCGAGTTGGGGAGGGCAGCGTTGCCCGTCAGTCGGGGGCGAGCCTGCTCCCCTACTCCTCCTCCTCCTCGTTCTCCTCCTCCTCCTCCTCCTCCCCCTCCTCCTCGTCCTCCTCCTCCTCCTCCTCCTCCTCCTCCTCCTCCTCATTCATTCATTCATTCATTCATCATGAGGCGGACGGTTCGACGCCTATACAGAGAAGAGGACGAGATGGGATGGACAAAGGAAGTAGAGCACGTACTCGCAGTGGAGTGATGTTAATCCATGCAAGCCTGGGGTACTGCCTAAGGCGCAAAAGTCGGAACAGGGAGGGGCAGAGAGAAGGCAAAGCAGAGAACCTTCGCCCAGGTTGCGCGGTACTGCCAATGGCGCGCCACACTGCTTAGTGCGACACCTTCGCATTACTATTTTTTAAAGTGAATGGACACTGGCGCTGACCAGCTAGGTCAGGGCATCGCCTTCGTGCGAAGGCCCTTCCCGCACTTGAGCAACAGTCAGTGAGGAAGGGAGGTTTGTCTGATATGGGTCCTCCACTGGTATTCGTACCGCTGGGTGGCCGTAGAAGCGTGGCCTGTCCGAACGTAAACACAAATCTCCGTCGTGTAGATATGCCAGATAAGGATCCAGAGGCACATGAAACTTCCTAACGCCCAGGGGAAGATCCCAACCATCTTCATCAGTCCGTAGGTCGATGCAGTGTCGAAGCGTACTCTCCTCTCGCATCGTCCACTGTAGCGGCCTAGTGTCTTGGAAAGTGCCCATGGATGAACCACGTGGAACACCGCCCTCTAAAAAGGCACAAAGTTTTGGAAATCTATCGCGAATTTGCTGGAACAGCGAGGCGGCAAGCTTTTTGTTCAGGGCCCTGGGATAAACTGGTGCTGGTGATGTATCTGGCCATCCACAGTGTCGCTCACAGGGGGCAGGGGCATGTGTGCGATGGTTACAAAGTGTTCCCCCTTCCCCGAGGTCACTGAGCCAGGTGGCCAGCGTGGGTATATGGACAGCAAGCAAGGTGGTAGGTCTTTTCCGGGGGGCTCCAAATCGACACTGGTGGATGGTGTGGATCCGTACCCCTTCCAATAGACTTAGGTCCTTGGCCTCAGGGAGGAGCCAAATGCTTGGGCTACCAGGTATATACTCCGCATGTGCTGGATGGGACAAGAGAGCAGGAACATGATATTTCCAACACACATAAAGTAAGGAAAGAGCAGCACGAAGAAGTTGGTTGCCTAAGGTAACTTGCTTGCTCGCAATCGATGAAAGATTGCCATGGCCCCACAAATGCTCTTCCGAACGGTGCGCTCTGGTAGCAAGACTCGTTTCTGCCGAGTGTTGGTGCCTGGCGTTCGACCACGTCTCAGCTGGCGGCCCCGCAACAACTGCACACACTCTTCCCGATCTAATCATATTTGTCCATATGGATGTAGTATGTATATCTTTGAGATCTCCGAGATGGGGGTCGTGAGAGGCATCCACGCTTAATACAGCTAAACGTGCGGGAAAGGACCTCTGGAGCTTCTCAATGTGGTCTTGGAGGTCCCCCTGGTGCCTATGTTGAGAGGAAAGAAGCAACATGAATTCGAGGGGCCTCACTGGGACCCTGGGGGAGCACAGGCAAGGGGGAGGAGGATCTGGGCTCGGGGCTACAGGTGGGACAAGATCGCGGCGCGCTCGCCTCACATGGGTTCTGGGATGGATGGGAGGTCCAGCGCACTGAAGCCAAGGCAGAGCAGCATAGGTCTCTGATCTTCTAGCCCGCCGATTGGTTGCTGCCTCCGTTCGGGCTTCCTCTCTTGCCTGGGAAAGCTCCTCGCTAGCGGGACGATGCCCAGAATCAATCCACGCAAATTTACACGCTGGTGCATTGGATAAATGCTTCACTAAACGAGACACGTGACGAAAGTCCCTGAGGCATACCTGACAGCATGTCCCCGTAGCCAGCATGGTAGGTGAAGCGGCCGACTTGTGAAATTTGCCTATGCGCGCAAGATGCTGTTGAGCCGAGGAAGAAACATGCCCACAATCATAGCAGACAAAACGAACAGCATCAGGGGGGGAGGACGAGGCGAGGGGAGTGTGGAGTGAAATAGTGCGTAGAGTATGCTTCCACACCTCATGGTGAGCCACGTCATGATAGTATCGTTTGGCCTTAGTAATGGCACTAGAAAGAGCAGTGCGAAAGCCCTTCGGTTCTGCACGTACAAAGTGGGGCCAGACGTCGTCATCAATAGGGATTTCTGGGCAGAAAAAAGCCAGCCACCTTATACCGTCCTGTATGAGGGATGTCCATCCCTTCGGGTCTCTCCAATTCAGGTCAAGGAGGGAACGAAGCACAGGGGGTCCCTTATGAATGATTCTTTGCAGTAATCGTAACCTACCAATAGTAAGTATGACACGGGTAGGTAGCCTGTGGGTGTCTAAGAACACACGAGCATTGTTATAATGAAGGTCCGCATTATTGGTGGCAGACATGCCTAAGGCAACTCGGTACACTGAGGTGTGAGCGGTT